TTAGTCCAAGAACATCTGGGGACCCAAGGTTGGAATCACTGTCTTAAACTATGTAAGCAGATTAGCAGGGGGTGGTTTGTAGTCTGAGTAGGAGAATTTCAGGGTGAACCCCCGCCCCATTCTACTCATGAGTTTCTAACACCTCTCTCTTGCAGATTCTGAATACAGGTGTCATCATGGCAGCATCCTGCTACAGCAGCAAGTCATTATAGTGTTCTGCAGATTCCCTGTTAGAGATGGGCACGAATCTCATTTTGGAGGTTTGTGCCGATCTGTACACATAGCACCACAGGTGCGACGCGTTCCTTTCCCCTGCCTCCCTGGCCAATGACCCACTTACCAGCATGTGCTCCTCTCCTCCTCAGCTGTTTGCCCAGTTCCTGGCAGGAGCATGGGTTTGCCTGTCCTGCCTCCTTGTCTGAGTGGGCAATCAGCCAGGGAGGTGGGCCAGGGAAGCCCATGCTCCTGCCGGAGACTGATCAAACAGCCAATGAGGTGGAGGAGAGGAGTGCACGCCAACAGATGAGTGGGAGATCCAGCTGGGGAGGCAGAAGGGAATGCGCGGTACGAACTGGCACGACCCTCTGAATAGGGAATCCACTATAATGACCTGCTGCTGTAACAGGATGCTGCCATGATGACACCTGTACCCAGAATCTGCAAGAGAGGGGTGTTAGAAACTCATGACTGGAACCGGGCAGGGATTAAACTTGAAATTCTCCTGCTCAAACTACAAACTATCCTCTGCAAATCTGTTTACTTAATTTAAGGCAGTGGCTCCCAATCTATTCCCTATGCTAAAAAAATGAGCCCTTCTTTTTTCAGTTGGTAGACATGTAATCCCATTAGGCCAAAACAATGACATGGAAGTACATTGTGTGGTACTGGAACATTGATATTACAGAGATGTACATGAAATCAAAGATCATAGCCGCCTAGAGTGGTCATATAGACCAGATGGGCGGGATACAAATCAAATCAAATCAAATCAAATCAAATCAAATCAAATCAAATCAAATCAAATCAAATCAAATCAAATCAAATCAAATCAAATCAAATCAAATCAAATCAAATCAAATCAAATCAAATCAAATCAAATCAAATCAAATCAAATCAAATCAAATCAAATCAAATCAAATCAAATCAAATCAAATCAAATCAAATCAAATCAAATCAAATCAAATCAAATCAAATCAAATCAAATCAAATCAAATCAAATCAAATCAAATCAAATCAAATCAAATCAAATCAAATCAAATCAAATCAAATCAAATCAAATCAAATCAAATCAAATCAAATCAAATCAAATCAAATCAAATCAAATCAAATCAAATCAAATCAAATCAAATCAAATCAAATCAAATCAAATCAAATCAAATCAAATCAAATCAAATCAAATCAAATCAAATCAAATCAAATCAAATCAAATCAAATCAAATCAAATCAAATCAAATCAAATCAATCAATCAATCAATCAATCAATCAATCAATCAATCAATCAATCAATCAATTAATTAAAAAACAACTGGGTTATTACACTTCAAGTTATTAGGAAGCAACTACAGCAAGAGCAACATTAGCCATGCCTGCTCCACCTAGAAAGAAGAAAATAACGTGCCAGAGGGCAAAGAAACAAGAAGGATTTGAGATGTTGACCCTTTAAGTCAATGTCACTATGGACATGTCATCCTTTGCCAACTGAAGAATGTCACCTAGTATGGATCATGAAATGTCCTGCAAAAGCACAAAAGATGGGGAGAAAAAGCAGGGAAACTGTCTGGAAGTCCAGAATACATACAGTCAAAATATGGTAAGTGACAAAAGAAAAAAATATTTACAACAAAAGTGGTGCCTCGATTTACCAACTTAATCCATCCCAGATGTTCGTAAATCGAAAAGTTCGTAAGTCGAATCAGCATTTCCCATAGGAATGCACTGAAAACCAATTAATCCGTTCCGGCTGTGTTTTGTTTGTATGTAGAGGTGCCGTTTGTAAATCGAAGCATTAGTTCCCATAGGAACTAATGCAAAACCGGTTAATCCGTCCTCTACCACTAGGGGGAGAATTTTTTAACCTAAGATGACTTAGGTTTTAAAAAAAAGGCAGGAAAGGAGGGAGGGAGGGAATGAACATCTTTTAAACAAAACACCTTTAAAACCAAGCAGCTTTAAACCAAACCAAGCACCTTTTACACCAATTTTTACATTTTAAAATTACAGTCCCAGGCAGTCCAAAGTCCATTTCCCGCTTCCCCCGTGTTTTTTGTTTGTTCGTAAGTCGAAGCTCCGTTCGCAAGTTGAAACAAAATTTTGCAAACTGAGCTGTTTGTAAGTTGAAATGTTCATATGTAAGGGTGTTCATAAGTCGAGGCACCACTGTATGTACAATGGAATGATAAATGCTGTCTGGAATCCCATTCTGGCAGATTTAGGCTGGTATGTCATGTAACATGTTAACCAAGTGTTTCCATGACATTTAGTTTGACCTTTAGGCAAGCCACTGTGAGACACTGTGATATCAAGTGATTAAAGTTATATATATATACCCCAGCCTAATGCACTCCAGTTGCTCTGGATCACACCTCCCTTTGTTTTCCACCAGCATGACCACCCATCATATCTGGTGGCTGCTGGGTTAGGAACGGCCGAATCAGAGTTTTACACGAAGCCCAAGGAATTCTCAGGTTGAAATTCCCACTCGGCCATGAACTCCATTCGATAACATTACCTTGGGCTAGCCACTCTTTTTCCTTCTGCCTGACTACCTCACAGGGTTGCTAAGAGGAGAAAAATGTGTGTGGACATGGGGGAAAGAGTTACACGTTTGTTTGTTGCTCTGAATTCATTGGGAGAAACGACCAAAATGTTGTTTGGCTTGCCCGTAGCTCCCATTCCATATGGGAATAGTGATATGGCAGCACCTGCTGACGATACATGTAAAGATCTGGGTGAGTGCTTTAAGCACTGTGGAACGGTATACAGGATATGCATGTTTATTTGGATCATTATTCTCGTTGTTGTTATTATTATTTATGCACATATCGTTTGGACTTGAAAATATGAAACAAAGGTCATCTGAGGATAGCCATCTGTGGCTGTAAGATTCTAAGCATTTTCCCCCCTTCTAAATATAAGCAATTTAACTGAAGAAACAGGCTGCAGCAGCTAGGATTGTTGAAATTTCAAAAGACATTTCTCACCTATAATAGAAATGTATTTCATGTTACTGCAGCCTATAAAATCATTATCCCCATCCATGTCTGGCCTTGACTGTTTCATAGTAAATGTGACTCTTTTTGACATTCTCTCATACTTTGTGCCTTCAGGTTATGGTGATCCTTTTCCAGGATTTTCCAAGTACAGAATAATCAAATATGGTTTCCCATTCCCTTCTTCTGGAGGCACCTGGGACTGTGCAGCTTGCCCAAGGCTACATAGTCTGGCTCTTCTCCCTGAAGGCAGTGGGGAATTGAACTCCCAGCCTCTGGCTCTGCAGCCAGATACTTTACTCACTGAACTATCCTGCCAGCTCTCTCATATTTTAGTCAGCTAATATACTTCCTGGAATGAAAAATAAATACAGAACCACTATTCTAT